TAAGAGCCTTTGCACAGAGATATGCACATCATTGAAATGAGCCACCGTTTCATGAAAAGTTTTTAAACCTTTATTGACATCATCAATACATCCACCATCATGCTGCAAAGCTTTTATTTCGTTCATTTTCCTTGTGCACGCTCCTAATTTTCCTTTTGCGGGATGCTTTGAGAGCTTTTAACATTTCTTCTGCCTCGGCAGAGGTCTTGGGAATTTCCATGCTTTATTTTATTTATCACTCGTTATTATGATGACAGTTTTGTTTATTTATTTTTTGCGGAGCGCAGCAAGACGTCATTTCGTGACGCTCCCTTGCCTATATTGCGTTGCATTTAAATCAGCGCCGTCCGTCAACTCTTTAAACACAGCCCACATCCATAAACACGTTAATTTGCACTCTTCTTCAGTCTGTTCATATCGACTCTTGTATTTTAATTGTCATCCAACATTTCCGACATGTCATACAAAGCGTTGAACGCCGATCCATTCATCATTTATTTGTTTACTCACGACCGGACCAGTGTTTCCTCTGTTGTCCTGTTCACTGTGTGTTTCTTCTTTTACTTAATGTGATGGCTTCAAACAAATACACAGATACCCCCAAATCAATTAACACAATGTAAAACCAAATTAAACCAGACTAATCAATAATATAAACAAATAAGTCATTAATGTTTGGCTCTTTACGATTTTTTCACTGTAAATAATTCATATGGCCATTTGGCCACAACAATATATCTTTGCTTCAGTGGGTCCACCCCAATCAAAAAGATCTAGACACAACACTGGCATGGATGTTTGCCTGGGAGGATAGTGTATTTATATCACTGTTTTCCAGTGTGAACACACTGCATTCTAAAACATGCTTAAAATTAGTATTGACTTTGAGGTATGAGTGTAAAGCAATACTACAGAGAAACTCTGTGATGCTAGTGCTGCTGTCAGCTTGCTACCATCCTCATAATGGAAATGCCAACAGACTGACACTTGGTATAGAAAATGCTTATGGATCACTTAGGGCAGTTTGGCTAATATTTGCTTTTTTGCTTAAACCATAGACTACATAAAACATGGACATAGTTTCAGTTGTTTCACCCATTAATTTCTTTAGAGGTGTTACGAAGCCCAACCATGATGCCATATTGAAAATGTTAACTCCAAGTAACTATCGGCTAATCTAGAAACAGACCAGGAAGTGCAGTTTAGTCATTTCAGATGGATCTTAATGACTGACTAATGCACCCACCTGTCTGTCAAATCAACCACACCACGTATTTGTCTTGCATGCATACCTCTTGGCCTTAATGTATTTAAAACTGATGAGTTAATAAAGATTTGAGCTAATTAGTATTTTACCATGTGTAAACATATTCAATACAGTTGTAAAAATGGCCTTCTTATTAGGGAACATAATTGGAATCATTGGTTTTGGAGCAAATCTGAAGTAGTAAAATGGGAAAAAGCTTTTTTTACTTTCACATTAGCTTTTTTTTACCAACATTGGAGGTTGTCACCTACATTGCATACACACATAGTATAACCATATTTGAATTTTATTAATCTGACAGGTATTTTATTATAACCCTTTATTGTAAGTCCTGAAAACGATGATAACGACGATTTGGATGAATCAGTACAAGATTTAGAGCCAATTTCAAATTGGATAGTGATTTGTGAAGATAGTTCACTGGAAAAGTAAAAATCCTTGTCTGCAGAGTCACTGGTGGAAACAGTCTTGATTAAAAAGAAGCTGGACAAATCTACTACAGTCTACAACATTGATATCTGCACCAGGTTCCTTACCATTCAAGAGATGCTTAAGATTTGTCCGTGCTGTGTAAAGTGCTGTATCAATGTAACCATCCAATTCAAAACACACTCTTCACACTGCAGAAAGGACAAAACATCTACTTTGCTGGCTTAAAACTCAAAAGTTGCACATTATACAAACACCTATTACACTCTAAGCACAGACTAGGTCACAGTGAACGAGATACCTGGTGAGACGTAAATCTTACCGGACTGTGTTGTAATAAGTGTTCAAAGAAACAGGACTGAATATACTAAAGAAATTTATTTTTCCTTAAACAAGACAAAATCTATGATTCTTTTCCAACTTCACTGACGTCAGTGTGATGTTTTTTATGTGGTTGAGGACCTTGATGGTGTTTAGTAACAGCTTGTCCTCTGTTAGAGTTGTCTCAACATCATTAATTGTGAGTGTTGTGATGAATAACAGCTGTCTGAAAGCACTGTGGGAGAGCTATATATGCCAAGGTGAATACTTCACTTAACCTACTTCAATCAATCTAAAGACGTTTTCACATATACACTCCTCAAAGTTGATTATTTCAGGGGTCTCTTGAGGTGAGACAGCGGACGAAGCAACAGAGCTCGCTATACAATGCTATAATGTGAATATTTGGCTTTATATCAAAACTATGTGTAGTTTTTTTTTAATTACATGCACAGATCGTTGTGTGTATACACTTTATGCACTGTGCAGCAGTCACAGGATATAAACATCACCACTTGCTGCGGAAGGAGAAACTCCAGGTGAAATCCGAGCTAAAAATGTGGCTGTTTATGGTTCACACATACAGCTCCTCCTGCACATATCAGGAGTTTTTCAGGAGATTTCTGCAAGTGTGAAAGCCCAATAAAACAGTGCTGTTGTTAATCTGAAACTGTCCACAAATTTAAAAGAGCATAGCTCTAAATCATAAAGACTCCAATTGAAGGGCGATCCACAAATGTGGAAAAAAAACACACTTGAGATGGATGGGTCTAGCTCTGAAGAGAAGTTTGTTCAAGAGTGCCCCCTGTAAATTGGAAAATATGAGCGAAAGTCATAAAAGTCAAAATAGCTGACTTCTTTGTTTAAGAGTATGGGTGGTACAAGAGGTTATTTAATGCAGACTTTTTTTTTTTTTAACATTTGAAGGGGGCCCATGGGACCAGAGCCACAGACATAACACATTTTTCGCCACTTCTGATTCATGTTGAAAATTTTTTTTTTTTTTTTATAATTTCAGACAAGAAAAAAAAGACAAGCTAAAAAAGCAAAGAATGGTCATTCCACTTTCCCACTAAACTGAAAACAGCTTAAGGCGATGAGACATTAATTCTATGACAATGTTGATTTTCTCTTGAGGTTTCTGTTCCATTCCTCGCTAACTCCTGAGGAAAATGTCTGGCTCTAGATTCTAATTCTTCTGCCATTATGTTCACAAGCTAACTTTATCTGTCTGCCGATCACCGCTCAGCAGATAGTGTAATTTAGAAGTCTTTACAAGTACATAATAATGGATCTGAGTAGATGTTCAGGCGTGTGATTGGACCTATAATTGTTCAATAGTGACCCTTGTCACCCATCTAATTACAATCTTGACCCAGAATTGTAGAGATCTGGAATAAGTTTGGAACCAAAAAAACGTACAAAATGAATACTATCATAACTAATTTCAGATAGTTATTTTTTTGTATTCAATTTACCCTATTAATGTTGTTTTGCAGTAATGTCTCGTCCTATTCCAGTCTACAGTTACACACATACACATTAAAGAGCGCTTCATTTGTTTGAAAGAGGTTCAGGAAGAGGATGGGATGCTATGTTTGACCTCTTTATCTTCAATATGAAAAGGGTGTCCATCTTTAGTCCCTCTAGTGATGCTGCTGAACTGTTTTAAATCTATTAAACTCTTTTAATCCTTCTCCTAAATCAGCCTTATCATGAAGTAAGTTACCCACACAATGCATTCACACTTATGTCATGATCAGTGTTGAACTGGTGTTAACATCTGCATTGTGTTTCTATGAATCAGAATCAGAATCAGAATCAGAATCAGATTTATTGTCCAGGTATGCTTACACACACAAGATATTTAACTTTGACCTGTGCTCTCTTATGTACAGGTACAACATTAAATATCAACAATAAACACAATCAGAAAAGACTAATATTTACATGACTAAATATGACACAGTGCAGTGGTGAATAGTGCAAAAGATGCTGAAGTAACATGAGAAGTAAAATGCAGTTATGTGACAGATGGGTCAATTAAGATGTCAATTACAGTATTTACATACATAAGTGTGTGTAGATTGATCATTTAAATTAAATAATACATCTATATATCTATATATACATATCTGTATATTCACAGTGACGGTTGGTTTAGAGTCATTTCACCGTGACAGGTCTGACAGTCACAGGTCTCTGTGACTGTTTAGCGTTCATCAGAGTGACAGCCTGGGGGAAGAAACTGTTCTTATGACAGGTTGTTTTTGCGTACAGTGTTCTGTAACGCCTACCAGAGGGGAGGAGTTTGAAAAGTAGCAACTGATCAACCCAAGTTTTACAAACCAACCTTGTTTATTATCCACATACCAGATAGTCCAGAAAGATAAAAAAACAGATCAATTAGAGCCTTCAACAGCACAATCCTGTGTCATTAGAAAATGACAAGTTGTAAAGACAGGAACAAAATGTATACCACAATGTATATCACAGAAAAAGAAACATCTGGTTCAGGTGTCTTATTTGCTTTACCTTTGATTATCCAAAAATATCAAAGAGGTGCATTTTAATGTCATACAGATCAGACATTATTTATCCTTTAAACCTTGTGTAGTTTTCAGGGGCTGCTCTGTCAAAGGGAGTGTGTCTGTGAGGCCGCGCTGACCTTTTAGCCTCTCTCATCTGTTAAGTGTTCCTAATGCCACCCTGGACACCTGTTGACCCAAGCCATCTAAGGCTAAAGATCCTCATCAGCTCTTTGTGCTAAACCTGCTCATGTCACCTTGCCAGTCTGACAGTTGCGGCTAACAGGGCGATTTGAAACTCGTGTACATCTGCCTCATGTTTAAACAAAGACCACTGATTCACTGTACTTTGTCATACCTTTGATTTATTTGAACTCACATAAAATGGGTGATATTAGCTGGAATCAATGTGATAACTTACAAATGAAGAAGTCATTTTCTTTGTTTTCCTCATGTTCATTTATTGGCAGGTGTACAACTTTCAACACTTAGAAAAAAAAATAACGGCACTTGGGTCTCCTTATGAAGGCCACAAGACAATATGGGTAATTGTTACATAAACCAGAGATTATATTATAAAACTAAAATCTGTTTGGACAATAACAAAAAAATAATACAATAGAAAATACAATATCGTTCACAAATGATGAAGATACAACAATTAACGTACATTCACTTCAAAATATATATTTGAGAGTTTTGTTTCAGATCTAATCTGTAACATTCATCCACTTCAACAATATCACAAATCACGAGTAAAAAATATTTCACAACATTGAAGATAATGAATATCTTTTCAGTTTGATTTTACCATGGGTTTGTTCAAATGGGAAAGGCAAGATATTAAAAAAGCACTGTGATAGTCTTAATGGTATCACTGGTATTATGCATGACAAGAAGAAATAAATGAAGTCTTAGTTAACACTTACGTAAGTCGTAAAACTACTTTACTATTTCTGCAAGGGAATAAAAGCCTTTTGCACATAAACCAGTACTAAAGAACAAATAAAGTGCTACATTGAACTTTTCCAGTTGTATTCTACCTTTAAATGAAATATCCCGTCTGGATCAGAGGTGTAATTGAGGTTTGCCTTAAGCCTGCTCCATAGTTAAGGAATAGACATAACATTTGCCTGCTTTTAATCTTTCCAGTAACTCACTCCCACACATCACGCAACCAACTCACATGTCAAAGGCAAACTGTCGGCGAGTCAGTGTATTTTTAGAAGAAGCAGTGTGCGTGCTGTCTGTGCGGGACTAAGGTGGATTTTCATTACCTCAAAGCTTGAGGTGAGTGTTAATTTAAGCTTGCTTGAGCATTGGGGGGGGGGAGAGAGCTCTTGGAGAATGTGTTGGAATGAAGGTGTATGGGATTTTTTTTAGAAACAGTACCTTAAGGAACCTTTTACAAATACTCTTGTATTAAAGATTAAGTTCCTTAATTGTTGGAACACAGTGGCTCTCGGATTTTCTCCTAGAAATGAAACAGCTGCTGATCACTGAGAGCGTCTGCAAACAAATAACTTTTCTAAATGTGTTCACAAACTTTGAAATATTGAGTGAAAAAAACAATAGATTAAACAATATTGTAACATCATTTCCACAAACGTTCTTCCAGTGAAAACAGAGAGTAAAAAAAAAAATGCTGAATGGATGGAAACCCGCTAATCTAAAGAGAGGCAGGTAAGTGAGCTTTAAGCGTTTGGCAGCCGCTCCTGACACATCTCCAAGGGCCGCTTAAACGCTCCCCTCCCAAACACTTCAACATTGCTTGGCAGCCAGGAGATCACATTCCCAGGGAAATAAGAGCTGCAGTTAGCCATAGACCTGATCTCCGCCGGCTTCAGAACACGGTCCCAAATGTTCACTTGACTCAGCTCGCCCACAAAAGCCTGTCCGGCATCAAAGCGCCCGCCCACCACATCCTGCAAGGGCAATTAGACAGCAGGATGGAAACTTAAACAGCAAATATTATGATGTATCCAAAGGTGATTAACTTCCTGAACACTGGGAGTATTTATGGACCAGTCATTAAACTTTCAGGTTTAATTATTGTTATCACCTTTTTCTCTTCAATGTTGCAAATGTCAAAGAACTTAAACGGCCCTATATTTGTTTAAATATGTTCATTATGACTTAAGGATACAGAAATTGTGGGACATGTATAAAATGGAACAAATAACACACTTAGTGAGGCTTCAAACCCCCAAATTCACTAAGAGATGGAGTCCAGCCATGATGTTGCTAATGCAATAAAAAAATAAAAATAAAAAACTACCTTAACCTTACCTAGGGCAGGGTGTCTTGTATGTGTGTTTTTTCTGCTTTTTTTTTCTTTGTAGTTGTTGTTTCTTTTTTGTTTTTTTTAAATGCTATTTCTTTCTTCTGTACTGTGCCAAAAATTGAAATAAAAAATAAGTTGAAAAAAAAAACATGTTCATTTTGTAACTGGATTCTTATTAAGATTATAGAACCTTGATGCTTATCTTCTCCAAAGCTCTAGAGCTAAAATAAGACTAAATAAGTCAGGACAATGCCTGTGTAACTGTAAGTACACTCTGCTACTTCTATCTATAAGTAGGATGTAGTAGTCAGTTAATACTTGGTCGAATTTGACCTCAAGGTGAAGCTGATCAAAACATCAACCTTAAAAACTATCGATCTTAAAATGTAGCCTCAATGGCGTAATCCTGAGAAGAAATATACAGCCGTGTGTAATTTGTACTCCCAGCTCACAAATCTGTGCGAAGGATTTAAAAAACGTGATTTATGATGCATAATCCCTGCCCACACCTTTGAAATCAATGCCAAAGGTTTTGTCAATCCAGAACATTCACACAGGTTTGTAGGCAAAGAGCATGCTATCTATGTAAGAATTTGCTAGCGGCCTCGGGAGGTTGTACTTTAGAGAGGAGTATTGTAGCTGAACGTTAAAACAAGTATGCTAACATCCACACAAGGACCAGCAGATGTTTGCATTGTTTTTTTTCTAGTTAGTTTCAAATGTTAACATGCTGAGATTGGTAATAGTTACTAAAACATACACATTTACTTGGATGGTTTTGATTGTGACACATTGAATATTTATTTTTTAGATTTTTAAGGTTTTGTATAGATCTATTCAAATGGCTATTCCTATGTATTTATTACATTGTCTACATATTTGATTTTGATTATTTGATTTTGATTATTTTGTACATGCTACATTGTTGCTGCATTGTTGTGTTAGCATGCTAATGCTAGTGATCTTTATTATGCTCGTATCTTCACACTGCATGTAAATTTACCTGAAATGAGCGTGATCTAGAAACACAGTTAAGCAGTGAGTACAGTATGTTATTCTTCTTTTCTCTAGTCCCTCAATTAAACAACTTTTATACACGAGGGGAGGAGTCAGCCGGCCGTCCGGGCAATGTAAACAAAGTGAAGATAGGACTCTGAAAACTCTGAAAGCATCACAGACAGTGGGACTCGGGTGTTACACCCATTGTAGACAGTCATGACTCACAGAGTTATTTTCAGAGGATATACTTGATTTATATTACATTTAAGTGTGAAAAATCGCATATAAAGCCTTTAAAGGAATGTCATTACATTTTATATATTTGGCCATTAAACATGTTGGCCAAACTACAATTTCGCTGAGATAATGCAGCCACTTAAGAAGGTCTTGAAATCTTAAAAGTGATTATGGTTCGTCCTGAGGGAGGCATGAATCAGTGAACCAAATTCAATACAAATCTTCCCAATAGTTTGCTAAACTTGAACTTTAAACCCACACATGTTAGCCTCATTGTAATAATATAAATGGTAGGGGATTCAATTAGGTTACTAGGATACATTATTGTCTTGGGACATGAATGTCTTTGGAAAACTTGGGTAGACTCAGACAAGTAAATATAGAGATACTTCCCTGGATAACTGACTACTTTGATGACTAGTGGTGCTTGACATAAAAAGTCTGGGCATCTACAACCGTTCTAAATATCATCCTATGGGGACAATGAATTTAAGCACAAAGTTTCAAGCAATCCGTTTGCCAATTTTGAGTTGTTTCACTCTGGACCAAAGTGGTGGAAAACGTACCGGCAGACCAACAGTGCAATTCAATTGTTTTAAAAAAAAACATTCAATATGAATTGTTGAATGCTACAGGTCTCACTTTGAGTTTCACAAAACTTGACACTGATTAATTCTAACTCTACAGACAGGTCCTTCAGAAACTTCAGGAGCCTCTGCCAATGGTAGGTTTCCTGTTGTCTTATAAATGGATTCGTCATGACAACCTGTCACCATCATCACTGCTGCTTCATGTCTGGTTTATTTTCCTGTTTCCACCGGCTGTTTGCTAAGGTGCTCCATAAATAACACTACACTGAACTACTTGACAATGCGGTTTGAAGCTTTTTGGCTTTTGAAAATGTGAACATGCTGCACTTCACATTTGACGCCTCATTGTCAGCATCTTTCACTGTCAATAATGTTAATATGGAAGACAAGCCATTAGTGATGTTGGCCTAATTCCAGGTAAGTGGTTGCTGTCTTCAATCATTAGAGAGAGAGATGACTAAATCTACTCATACAGACAGAAGTCTAACCACCGATGATGCTTTCTTACCTGTTCCTGCCCTAATATGATGACTCCCCCAGGTTTGATGGGGTGCCAGGCTGCCAGGTTGTCCCCACTTCCCAGCTTCTCGCCATCTTGGTACGCGTCCCATTGACCATCGCGTGTGGTCCAGGACATGCATATGTGGTGCCACCTCCCATCACGTACATCCAAAGGCAACTGGGCAACCTGTGGTCAGAATATGATGGGCTAAGTTATTGTTTCTTTTCATTGCAATGCATAGCACATACTAAGTTCGTGAAAGTATCAATAAGGAAGGCTTGGATTAAGTTGAAGCTCCCACTGACATTTGGAAGATCAACCATGCAGGTTTAATAGTTTTTGCACACTAGAAATGACTCACCTTGTCATTAATCAGCAGCTCTATTGGGTTGTTTCCCCATTCAATTAGCACAATCTCATTGGCTTGCCCTGGGACTCCGTAGGAGAAGGGAGTCCCAATGCCAGGACTGGCGCTGGACTTGATCCACATGCAGAGTGTGAAGGCGTACATCTCGGGCAGACTCTTGGTGATTCGGCCGTACAGGTAGTTGGTACGCTGGGGAAGGGAAAGCTTGAACTGCTCAGGGGACTTGTAGTCTCCACCTCCTGTGATGAGACAGACAGAGAGGTTAGATGTGCTCGTGGTGTTTTAATGTCATCATTGTTGCCTACATATAAAAGCAAAGAAACGTCAGCACTACTTCCTATTAGGCTTAAAACATTTAGCATTTGAAACCTTCCTCTTTGCTTAAACTTGTAGTTAGGGCAGGCTCATGTTCGCCTTGGACTGGATAGTCATTCTGCTACAGGATTGGACGCCACCTCCTTCTCCTTCCCTCTCTTTCTTTATCTGCATGCATTCATGTGCTATTATTGCATGACACTAACGTAATATCTTCCCTGATGTTTTATTCTCTCCTAACAGGTTTCTGTGGAACCTTGTTAACTGCGGCAGCACTTACCACCTCTGCTACAATCGTTATTATCATTCATACTTATATTTTCATTATTTAAGTCATTATTCCTGTCTCTTTCTCTGCCCATCCATTGCTCTTCACCTATCCTGCTAGAGCCTTCTGCCTGTTAATTTTCAAGAATAGGTTATTGGTGGTTTAAATTGGAAACAATACAGCACCCTCACTTTATATATCTATATCAAATATGTTTCAGACAAAGTTGCAGCTGTTGCAACCCACTCAGACAGCACTCTACCTTTCTCCAGCTCACTGATCCTCTCCACCAGTGCGTTCAGCGTGCTCTCAGTCTTCATCCTGTAGGCAGCCGTGGCGTTAGACAGCATGCTCTTCTGCTCCTCCAGGTTGTTGACCTTCTTCAGGAGCTGCTTTTCCAACTGGCTGAGTCGACGCTGCAGCAGGTCGCGAAGCTCGCTGGGGAACGAGGCGCCGGAAACGTTGGCCCGCATCTGCTGTTGCTAAGGAAAGAGTGAGGTTACAAAATCAGCAGGAAGTGCACAAAGATGACCAGATGATAAGATAAACCCCTGAGGACTGAAAGTGATGCCTTACATCACCGATTGTTCTGCATGACTCCACTGCAAATGTTATCCAACACTTTGGAAAATGGTGTTAAGCTTTGTTTTTTTACCCCTCGATTTTATGATCCATGTCACTAATTAAGCCTCAGCTAGTGCTTTTATGTAATGTAAAGCACCGGATTTGCCTTCCTTTTTCAGAAGAAAACGTAAAAAAAAGACACTTTGAAGAAAGACTTTTGGGAAGATATTTTTCATGCTTTTTACTTTTTGCGCTTGTCTGATTTTTCTCTCGGCATAAAGCTACTCAATAGGAAGTTCAAGGCTAATCAGAGTCTCTCTTGATCTCCACAATACCTACTCTAATGGTTTCCTGGAAGTGCCTACTGCTGAGCGTTGGGTCAACAAGATAAGCTTTTAAATCCTTGAATAAAATCAAACCTGGCTTTTACGCGTGGGCATGGCACCACATGTTTCCCTTTTGCGCAATTGTTTCCGACTTACCTCCAAGTTCTCCAACCGGTCCTTGAGCCCTTGCATGGTTTTCCGAAGACTGTCAATGGTGTCATTTGGATCCCTGGGAACATCCCCCATTGTGTTTTGCTTGTCTTTTCCCCAGGAACCCGCCTTATCGTACCTCCTGTCGTCAGTGGCGGACGCGCAGAGAGACAGCTTGGTGGTGAGCTCGTTGATGGTGCCTTGCTGTTTGGAAATATTTTCCTTCTGCTGTAGGATAGTCTCTCGCAGCTGCATAACGGTGTTTCTGAGCTCTTCTTCTTGGCCGCCGGTGTTAAGCTCCGGTAAGAGAGTAACGGGACAACTGGCATCGCCGCTGATGGGAACTGCCCTGCAAATGTACCTCTTTCCATCGTCCGGTTGTCCACTCGCCTGTCGACTGCAAACCAGTGCACAAAAACACAACAATCCGAACAAAACTGAGAACATACCTGCGTGCTTAAAAGGAAGTCAAGAATAAAAGTGGAAAGCAAATAAATAGGAAATCCAGTCTCAAATTTGGTGCGTAAAAACGTTCTCCGAAACGTCTACCTAGTAAAACACCACGTGTCAGCCTATCTAATTCTATAATAGTAGCGCCATCACTAACACATAAAATTAAGAAAATTCTGAGCAGAAAATCCGATCAGTGGAGCCTGTAAGCCCGGTTAATGTGGCTTGTGTTAACGGGACTATTCCTGGTTCCAACACAGCGCAATGTGTGGTGCTGATCGGACAGCTCCTCTTAGAAAAGAGGATTACCAAAAAAAAGTGTCTGTGAAAGCTCCCGGATTGGTTGTAGTAGGCTGACGTCACCGCCCTGCTGGTTCAAATACCTTGGTTCAAATATCTGTTTGTTTATTTATCTGGAAAGTTCATTAAGTAATGAGCAGTAAGTTAGTTTTATCAAATTGGTTAAGCCAATGAGGTTGCCACAGGGATCGGAAATGTGTGATTTGTTTTCTTGATGCGTCTAATTTCATATCCCCATGTTTATAAGGTCAAACATTTTTGTTTAGAACAACATTTTAAAAATAAGTTGTATCCATCCCTCGTCTTCAGGTATGAAGCAGGAAGAGAGGGTTGGTAAAAAAGGTAAACATGACCAATTGAATAAAGAAACAGGTATAAGACAATTGGGCACTAATACTGCTTGGCTGTACATATAATCATGTTGCATCAGACACGTTGGCCCAGAGTACACATTACAACACCTATAGATGACACAGTGTGTGGTACCAACTGTTGATAGTAGACTGGTTTAAGAAAAATAATTATGTTTAAAGCATTTATTTAAAAACAGGTCCTATACAAAAAGCTCTTGTTTGAGAGAATTGTACTTTTAGTAGATGGCCTTTTTCATCCACTGGGAGTCCTGTCTGCAAACACATACTTTACATAGAAAGTAGTCCACTTTAACAAATGCAATCTGAATGCTTAAATATTGGTCAGATGTTGCTTCATGTCTGCCCCCTATAAGACACTCCAACCAGCCTCTGTCTGCTATAAGGCTGGGTTTCCTGTAATCAATGGAAAATGTCCACTACTAAAAACAATCATAGTCAACTTAAGTTGGGCTCAAAGGCATCAGAGAGGCCATCGAGTGGACAGAAATAACGAAGTTGAAGTTTTGACACAATAAATTAAATACAAATCCAATTCTCAGTCTAGATCCACCAAGGGATAAAAAAAACGTATTTACTTATTTAAAAACATAATGTTTAATGTTATCTGGTCTTAGATTGGTTAGCAAGCAGACCATATAATAATAACAATAATAAAGTTTATTTATATAGCAATTTTCGCAGACAAAGGTCACAAAGTGCTTTACATCAACAAAAAACAACAACAGCATACATATAATGAAAGAAGAAGAAGAAAAAAGAATATGTCATGGAAGACATTATAAAATCCTACTATAACCAGGAACAATAATTGGCACAATAAAATATAGATGAGTAGGTACACTGGGTGGACCTGATTACCCATAGGCCTGTCTAAACATTAACGTTTGTAATTGTTTTTTAAAAGACTCAACAGAGTCAGAACTATAGGCCTACTACAGCTATAGTCTTGAAATTTAAAAATATAGTAGGCCATCCAGAACCTGAAAAATGACTGTATGCAGCAAAGCAAATGATGGAAAATCTGACATGTAATTAACTTTCCATGTAAGCGTTTATCATTTGGGATTAAGGCCAGATATCAGTATAAAATGCTTTTGTCCACCACAATTGATTCAATCACATTTTATATACATTTGACACCAGAATTAAAGTTTCAATGCCTTCAATCAGTCATTAACGTCATTCTAAATGTAGGTCAGTGGCTTCAATAAAGCAAGCAGTGAAGAAACAGGAGGTGGTGGTAAATAATTAGCACTAGCTGCCTGCATGGCTGTGAAAGGTCAATAAAGCCTGGAGTGCAGACTGGAAGACACACCACTGTGCTTTGAACATGACGTCCAACCATGCCCCAAACACACAGCCAATCAGTGAGGATGTGGAGACTGTCGGCTGATATTCACTGAACACAAATGGTTTAATATAAAACAACAAAAGATGTAGTTGTAAGGATTCTAATTTGTTTTGGATAATGATTAAATCAAAACGTCAATAAAAACATTCTTATTCAAGGATTTACATTTGAAGTAGTTTTCTTAGGAGACTATAGTTTCAGTTTACCTCATATCAATAAATATGAATTTTTGTTGGAGGCATACAGAGCCCTAACTTTACTGAAACAGCATAATAAGTAATAAACATTGTTTATTGTAACTTGTTTGAGTGGTCTTTCTTTTAACATTACTGTTATTATGAATAGTTGAGTTCCAACATTGGGGTCAGGTTAAGGTCCTGAAATAAATATAATGGTCTGGGGATGATTGGTGGCTGGGAACCAGAAAGAAGGTTCTGTGATGTCTTAAAATAAAACACTTCATACCTGTTTCATTGTAAAATAGAAATGTCTCAACCCATAGACATAAAAAACATACAGCCTAAACAACTATTTCATAAAGCTATAAGCATACAATTATTTAAATGACTTTTAATCAATGTATGAGCCTCTAATATGTTTGTATGTCTAAAATTAAGAGGAGAAATGCTTTAAGTGGAAAACACATGCAGAGGAGTAGGTGTAGGAAACATATAGAAATGCTGAAGTATACCAAAACATCAAAATTGAGTATACTTATACCTTATCTTATCTTATAAATTCAAAACGTATAATTGACTTTCCACCACTGTTAATGTCCACTTTCATATTAGATAATCATGTTTAAGTGCAATGTTCGCAATTATTCATTCCATCTTCATTACCTGTAAATTTTCCAGTGCTAAAATATGTATTTTGTCTTTAAATATGTATTTCTGTTATCTTTTGAAGATAATGAATCATATAAATTCTATGTGGATTGAATGAGCAAGTACATTGTGAAAACAGATGATTTAATAAACTTCCAATAATATTCCAATATGATTTTGAATGACTTTGGAAAAACAATGAAGAAAGGAGGGAAGGAAGGAAGGAAAGAAGGAATGAAGGAAATAGAAAGAAAGAAAACAGTTAAAAAGACAGAAAGAGATATAAAGAAAAAGCTAAGAAAGAAACAGACTGCAGGTGGTTCTGACAGCAGTAAGTGATCACCAACATCATGTATTTGATGTACATAGGGTTTTGTAGCTTTGCAAAGCTTGTTCAAACCTTCAGAAAGTTCACCATCACACCTTTTTCTGGTAACAGGTGGAACACCAAAGTCCAATATAACTCCACATGGTAACAATTCAGCTCCTGGGAATGAAAAACAAACAAAACAATAACTGGGATTACTCTGGGTACAGCACATGATAATATTAACATCTCCTATAACACACATGCTCTGTGTATCTAGCAGAGATCATGTATGTGAAAAGAGCGAATGTACATGGGGGCTTTGAGTGCATGAATGGATTTTCAGGGTATTGTTGATGATTCAGACTCAGCCTCAAGAAGAGTGCACTTATTTCTATATGAGAAATAAAGCCGGGGTGCATGGCGCGGCTTCATCATAAGGGCATCAGCAGCAGCAACAGTTTGTGAGAAACACAAATCTAATGGACAGCTGAGGGGTTCTGCAAAACCGGAGAACCAGTGTGTCATCCACTCTCCCCTCTTAGAATAAAGCCCCCATCACAACAAAAAAAAAAAACACCTATGAAACAATCCGGACAGTGCAATAAGCCTGAGACAAACATCTTTTAGCAGATCATTACTAGTTAGGGAGCAGAGAGGCAGAGAGAGAATGAAAATGTCACACTATGTGTCAAATTAGCTTGTGTATTATAGACGACGTTCAGTGAAAGGAACATCTCATTCTGCAGTCCTCTGCCACTGGGTTCACTCCATGGACGAGGAGGCTGTGAAGGAGAGAGTTGTGAATTAAAACCCATTAGCAGAGCAAGCAGGCAGCAGACAGGCGGGATGGATCAGGCAAGATAAATAATGAGCATCTTTCAACCAGACTTCATTATTTCCAAAGCCATTAAAAGGAGCGTTATGAAACAAATCTCAAGCCCAAATCTCATACACTTTCATTATGAGTCACAGTGTGTGCATGACCACAAATTGGCATCAAATCTTAATATGAATCAAATAAGCATCTTTAACATGACCATAAAAGGTAATCCACTGCAAAACAAAAGAAGAAAAAAGTGAATTGGTTTGACTGGCATAAAGGAAGAGAAAAAAAACAGTCTTGTGTAGAATCAATGAAAACCAAAACAACCATTGAACAAAACATCTATACTTTTCTTTCTTAATTATGTTTTAACCATATACTGTAAATATTAAGGTAAAAAAAAGAAGAACAAGTGAGAATAAACCTGAAAATACTGTTAAATATGTCATATTAAGATTTAAAATATTCTGAATTATCTTTAGTTTTTAGACTTATTCCATGCGAATATACTGAAAACAATAAAACAACAATAACAACACAAAACTCCACTTTCAGACAACTGGCACATACAGATGCTGCACAGTGTTTTTTTTTTAGTTAAAATTTCATATCTAAAAAAATCTATGAATATCATGATATAAGATGTACTTCATTTTTTTCTTATTAAGAGTTTTATTTGAAGGTATCATTACAACTTAACTGTTCAAAGGGGCAGAGTATACAGACCCATTATTCTCCTTTGGTGGACTGACATCTTGTGGTGAAGAAAAAACAATGCAATCTAAAGGAAAAAGTTCTGAATAAATAATTATGTTGTAGATGCCTACAATTCCGTCTCGTCCATCTTTAATCATTTTTATGTCCGAGTTGATAATGAGAATTCTATGGTTTGCCTTTTGTAAAAAATCCATCTAACATGTCATCTTAATGAAAATTCAGTTTTTTAATTAATGCACAACACCCAAATAACTCTTTAGAGGAACACACTCATTATCGATGATCTTAATAATATGGCCACTGCAGAATCTCAGACTTGAATCAGTCTTCATAAATATGAAATTATAAGAACAGCAAATGGAAGATTTTTTTTTTCCAAACCACACCACAGAAATGTTTACTTATGATTGATAATGGTTATAATCTTGCAATTACTTTAAAGCAATTTATTAAAAGTGTAACAAATACCAAAATACATGTTGTTTATAGACGTGCATTTTTGCAAATAAACCTCTGGATCGCATTGATCGTATACTACCG